ATCCACTCCAGCTCCACATTCTTCGTGAGAGTGAATTACGGTTTCGGTAAAAATTAGAAAAAGGGCAAAAGAGTCAAAGTAAAAATAATTGTGGGCTTTATGTAGAGATTTGTGGGCGATGTTTAACAAATCCCTTTGTAAAAATATTAAAAAAGCGTGGCCATTTATTCAATATTTTTGATGAGCTGTTCAGTTGTTGTTTGCAACTTGCATTTACTGTTTGGTGAGAATATTACACATGTACCCCTCAACTAGTATGTGAAAAGACGCATATACCCCTCTACCGGTACTTGAAAAGACGATTATTTTCCCAGATAAACAAATTTTTTGTTTATCTAGAGAATAAACTGAGCGCAGCTCATTCAATAACATCATTGAATGAATAGTTTTGTTATACTCTCTTTGTTTTTTTTTAATTGCATTTACTCTACCTTTAATCACTTTGACTTTTGCACTATTTGACTCAATTTTCTTTACCATCATAAAATAAATAAATGTGTGTATTATATTATATATAATCATATTAATCACAATATCTATGTTCATAATTTAATTTTGTTACAATTTTTGCTAATAAACAATTATATACATTAAGAGCATCAACACTCGTGGCATAAAAACTCATCAAAAACTTGCAATTTTTCACTACATTGGTGGTATAAAAGTATAACATTTGATGGTATATACCATCTCATGGTAAACATTTACTTCGATCCCCGTGAAACATGAACCAACCAGGTCACGCTATGTGGCCTGGTTATCATGTATCTTTTTTTTTCAATTACATTTTAAGAAAAAATTATAAAGTTAAAAATTATGAAAAAATTACCATTGTTCATAATTTTTCAAGATCTACACATAGACACCCATATTGATATAGTTTTATATATTTTTACGAATTCGCTTTTACTACGTAAATTGCTTATTTTATTTAATTAACTTTACAAACATTAATTAGTTATTTCCAATAATAAAATGAAATATAATTATAATTAAATTATTAAGTGTATTATTAATAAAAATAGGAGAGAGAAAGTGTGGTGGTAAACTTTTTTTATACTATGGGTGGGATGATTTTTGGAAAAAGTATATTATATTGTGGTATAGATGACGTGCAGGAGTGAGAAAGTGGTAGAGAGAGAGGGATGGTATAAATTTTTATACCATGAGTGATGATAATAATCAAAGTTGTTATGTCTTGACAAATGTGTCAGTAAAAAAGGTAGAGATTCCTAATGTAAACTACTTGTAGTCTCGTTATTATTACGAAATACTCCATCTATTTTAATTTGATAGTCCCATTTGGACTTTTATATAGTAAAAACTTTGAAACTTTGACTAAAAATTCACATAATATATACAAAAAATATAGACATGTGATACACTACCTCTGGTTCTTATTACTCGCAACAAAGGGGTATTATTTGTGAAATATAAAATATTTTTTTTGTTGCGAGTAATAAGAACCGAAGGTGCATTACAACAAGATATATCATACAGTAGAATATACTTTGTACTCGTATTGTTTTCATCATCATCATTACTCCCTTCGTCCCCTTTTGTTTGTCACTTTTTCCATTTTCGGGTGCCCCTAAATGTTTGTCACATTTCATATTTTCATAATTCTTCCTTCCCTTTATTTGTGCCCCATTGCCATTTTTAGTGTCAAACTTTGAAAATTTTGACCATGTTAATTTATACGAAGTAAAAGATAATTTAGTCATGAGTACGTGGTCTTGTGAGATTCGTCTCATTGTATAGTTTATTAATATCACATTTGTATAATTTTTTCGTATATGGAAATAAAGATGTAGACGTTTTAATATGTGTCTTGGCGACCGTACAGAGTCAAATGGGGCCAAAAAAAAATAGAGATAGAAGGAATACCATAAATACAAAGACTTTTATAGCCTCATTTTTTTTTTGTCCTTATTAAGTCCTTTTCCTAATTTACCCTAACATTTGCCATAAAAATTGTGCCAACTTTGGACTAATTTAATGTTTTACACTTGAATCTCTCAATTTTTGTTTCCCATGTACTTTATTTACTTTTTTAATTGGAAATGTCTCTTTCCCGTGCACTTTTATTACTTTATTATTGGTTGGAATTTCACTTTCCCGTATACTTTCATTACTTCACATTTTCCACCTTAGTTCCCGTGATTTTCCTTCAAAAGTGAAAAACAAAAGGGCAAAGAAGGATTATTATTATTATTATTATTATTATTATTATTATTATTATTATTATTATTATTATTATTATTATTATTATTATTATATCTCAAAAACAGACAAAGTCATAAAACCTATAGAAAATTAGTGGGAAGCCGAGATACAATCTGGGCCCCTACTCCTCCAAAATCTATATACAGCAAAGTTTATCCTAGTGAATATATGAGCAGCAGCACGTGCCCCAATGTCTTGAGTCGCCGAAAACTTCTGAAGCCTCTTTAGCAATGCAACAACCTCTTTATCTAATTCTCCAATTGAAGAAAACGAGAAAGGGAGGAAACCATATCCAATTGTCCGACAACTGAATTCGTATTTGATCCGCTTTTAATTTGATGAGATGCATCAACCACAACCCGTCCAGGAACAAAGTCAGATAGTTCAATCTGTGTCAAAGGAGAAAATCTTGTCAAATCAACATATACATCCCATCCTCAACCCCACCACGAATAAAGTAACACATCTGCAGGTCTGAGGGCCCTATCGTTCCCTCCAGACACTCCAATATCCACCTTTTAGCTAAAATTCCAGATCTATAGAAAATATCAACGAGGGTATCGCAAACAATATTATGCCGATATTTAATACCTACAATATCAGCACACGACATCGAATGATCACCAAAAATATCTCCAAAAAAGCCTTTGAACAAGCTGAACACGGCGTCGAGACGGAGAACAATAAAACATCCAGCCGGTAGCTCAACACTAGGAGTGTAAATGAGCAGATACGTTTTTGAACTACTCGCGAACAAGCTCGATCAAAGCTTTGTCAAAACTCGTTAGTGAAGCTAACAAACAAGCTTGAACAAAAATCTTAAGCTCGTCAAATAAATGAACAAAGCTCGAACAACATCATGTTCGACTCGATAATGTTCATGAACAACTCTTTAAAGTCAATTTGTAAGTTTTTTCACGCCCAATTAAAATTTGAAAAATTTATATATCTTTTATTCATACATATTTGAAAAAAGTACTAATTATTTCATCATGTAAAAGCATGAAAACTCTGTCATTACCTTTAATTTTTCTATAGAATGAATATAAACATCTTATATAAAATTAAATGAATGTGTTAAAAACTTAAAACTTGAGAGAAACCATTTTTTAAATGATAAATTAAGGCTCGTTTATTACATCAAACCCGTTTTAGACCCGTTCAAGGTCGAACTTAAACTCGAAATGCAAACGAGTACGTTTGTGAACAAAGCTCGAACAAGCCAAATTCTTGACGAGCCCAGCTCGAATAAGATTTTTAAAAGCTCGTTCAAGCTCGAGATAGTTCGAACACGAATAGTTCTTATCAAGCTTAGCTCGAACAGACTAAAACTCGGCTCAGCTTGGATCGTTTGCAGCCCTACTCAACACACATCGGTATGTCTTAGCATTCATCATCTAATCCAACCCCGAAATAGGGACCGCCCTAAGCCAAGCAGAAGTGTGATCTCCCTGCTGCGATTTCCACAAAGCATATTTCTGAGGCAATAACAAATAAGCGGAAATAATAACCTTTGTGAAATATGTATCTGTCAATTTCTTCATGAGTTTAGGGGCACTAATCTCACTAAGGTTACTCATAATATTTAACTCCACCATTTCATTAAAAAGACTCTAACACATCTCAATATTATTATTAGGCAAAAGCTAATGAGCGTCCCCGGGGCGTTAGATAAGAGAATTAAAGTGCAAATATTAGAGTAAAATTAACATTAATTACACCGAACGACGCGTAATTTTGTCATGAATTTCTAACTTAATACCATTTCAATTAATATAATTTATCCTTATCTAACGCCTCGTACGCTCGTTAGCAAGATCGTTATTATTATTAGTAGTAGTAAACCCAGTAGTAAACACAAGCTGCTGAATCCCAAGAAAGTTATAGACTTATAGTTATCGATTTATCATGCATGGGATGATGGGAAGACCGAAAAGAAATTGCCTGTCCTCAGGAATGCAAAAATAATGAATGCTCCTAGACTCACAAGCTTGTTGCCTTGTACATTGTTTTCAGCATCCCATCACTTTTTTAAAGAAGTATGGAGTATAATTTTAATGTATTACATTTTTTAGCAATAAAATAAATATTCCGTAATTAAAAATTACGGAGTATATAAAAAAAATATATAGACATTTTTCATATTTGTAGAAGCAATAATCAAAATATCAAATGATTTTTTGAGATGTATTAGGTCTTGTTTGACAAAAGTAGTGGTAGCGAGTAACTTTTAGCAGTCGAGTAGCGGGTAGCTGTTAAGGTAGCGAGTAACGGTCAATTAGTAGTGGGTAGAGGTTAGCTGTCAAAGTTACAATTGATAGTACGAGTATTTGAATTTAAATATATCAAAATTCATATAAATATTGTTTTAAAAGTAATTAAAATTTGTCAAACGATATCCGCTACTTGTAAACGCTACTATTTTTAACGTTTGAGAAAAGTTACCTAAAAGCTACCTTTATCGCTAACCGTTATTTGAATCGCTACCTTGCCAAACACTCTTAAATTTTTACTTGTAGTGTTTAGACTGGTTAAAACACTACCCGCTACTTCGAACGCTACACTACTTAGGAGGAGAGTGGTATGAAATTTAAAGTTTTGCTGCCTTAAAAGTGTAAATGTGTAAATTTCTAGATCTCTAAGCTCTACTCAACATTTTGACGATCATTGAATTGAAAGCTGTAATAAGAGAGTACTTTATCTTTATCTTTGATAAAGTCGGTTGTGCAAAGAAAATTGCCCAAGTTTGATTGTAAAACATATCTACGTTGTATATTCTTAAAGATCCCAAGTCAAGCATCCACCTACTACTCTTCCAATTTCCTGCTTCAAAGTTCAGACCAACTCAACAGTCAGACAAAAAAAGCCATGTAAATTCTCCAGCAGATACTCCTGACTTCAAACTTATGATTCCTAGTTCAATCAATGATTCACCGTATAAGACTCAAGATTCACTTCAAATAAGAATATGCTTTCCTTGATGCCTTTTTACACTTTGCAAGCCGAATACTCTCCTGTAACTCGACGGTTTGATCAATAGGGGAATTTGTTGTTATCTATCAATCCAATAAGTATACAAGCATAAAGTATTACGGAGTATCATACATCATTTACAATAACATCAGTCAGGTACCAAACATTATGATGGCATCAACTGATAGTGTGAAAGAATTTGAAACAAACAAGTTTTCCCTTCCAGTTGATGCAGAGCACAAGGCTACAACCTTTTCAGTAATGTCAGTTGCAAAGCCTCATATGCGGGCGTTTCATCTATCTTGGCTCCAGTTCTTTGCCTGCTTTCTATCGACATTTGCTGCTCCGCCCCTCCTTCCTATCATTTGTGACAGTCTCAATCTTACGGCTACTGATATTGGTAATGCAGGGATTGCATCAGTGTCAGGGGCTGTGTTTGCCCGTTTGGTCATGGGCACTGCCTGCGATTTAGTTGGGCCTAGAATAGCCTCTGCAGCTCTCACCCTCCTTACTGCACCTGCAGTTTACCTATCTGCCACAGCAAACTCACCCACAGCCTTCTTGCTCATCCGTTTTTTTACAGGATTTTCTTTGGCCACTTTTGTGTCAACCCAATTTTGGATGAGTTCCATGTTTTCTCCACCAGTAGTTGGCCGAGCCAACAGTATTGCAGCCGGGTGGGGCAACCTTGGAGGTGGAGCAACCCAGATGATCATGCCTCTTCTGTATACACTCATCCTTGGGATGGGAGCCACAAACTTTACTGCCTGGAGGATAGCATTCTTCATTCCTGCTGTTTTACAGACTCTTTTGGCATTTGCAGTGTTGCTTTTCGGGCAAGATATGCCTGATGGAAATTTCCAGCAACTCCACAATTCAGGTAAAAAGCACAAAGACAACCTTTCAAAGGTTATGTATCATGGACTTGCCAATTATAGGGGCTGGATTACTGCCCTGTGCTATGGGTACTGTTTTGGGGTGGAGCTAACCGTGGATAATATCATTGCTCAGTACTTCTTTGATAGATTCAATCTCAAACTGCATACAGCTGGGATTATAGCAGCCAGTTTCGGGTTGGCAAACATTTTTGCCAGGCCAGGAGGTGGATTGGTGTCAGATTTGCTAGCAAAGAAGTTCGGAATGAGGGGAAGACTCTGGGGCTGGTGGATTATCCAAACTGTAGGTGGCGTATTATGCATTCTTCTGGGACTGATGAACTCTTTAAGTGGATCGATTGCAGTAATGTTCGTCTTCTCTGTGTTTGTTCAAGCAGCCTGTGGACTTGCATTCGGGGTTGTACCTTTTGTCTCTAGAAGGTAATTTCTACACATCTCTTGCAACATACCAGATGTTTCCTGCAAAAGAATTTATCTTAGTGATCGTATGGTTGGCATGTAAATACACAGCCAACAGAGGAAGTTGAATTTCCATAACAGTAGAATATGCATTTGTTTGGTTGAAAATAACTTCCCACCGAATGGAGGAAGTCACTAATTCACCTAGTCCGCTATAAATATACTTCTCATGAAAAATTGAACATCCTATATTCAACTATACAAATTTTGGTACTTCCTCAGATATAAAATTCATTCATGTAAAAGGTACGAGTACTCAAGGAGTAGAAAAAGAAATTAGTCCTAATCATTTTGGGTGAAGCATGAAACTTGAGAAAAGAGGTATTTGAAAGGCTTATCAATTATAAGCCGCAATTCAAGAATATATATGAGAGAGCATTGAATACTGTATAGAGAGCAACAAAAAGAAGCAAATAAGTATACATCCTGTAGCATGTTGCAACTACTCAAAGTTATTAAGCCAAGATCTTTTAGCCTCTATAAGTACATGAAAGCGGGACAGATACATGAAATCAAGCTCAAGAAAAAAAAAAGTGAGTATCCTAAAGCAAAGAACTGGACAATTAACTTTGCATGTAGAGGGAAGTATCCTAAAGCAGAGGATATATAGCCATAGAACTTTAAAATTTATGATGTAGATATGATTTCTCCTCATGCTTACAGGAAAATCTTGTGTTCCTAAAGTCTATCTATATCAATTTCAGATCTCTGGGCGTGATTTCTGGTATGACAGGAGCCGGTGGAAATGTGGGTGCAGTTTTAACTCAATTGATTTTCTTCAAAGGATCTCAATACACAACAGAAAGGGGAATAACCTATATGGGTATCATGATTGTAGCATGCACTCTCCCCATAAGTGCCATATACTTCCCACAGTGGGGAGGCATGTTTTGTGGTCCTAACCCGAATACTTCAGAAAACGACTACTATATGGAGGAATGGGATTTAAAGGAGCAGCAGGAAGGACACCATCTGGCAAGCTTGAGATTTGCAGACAGCAGCAAGAGTGAAAGGTGCAGAAGACAGCAGTCTGCACACCCAAACGAGAGCCTGCCTTCATGTGTACGACTAATCTACTGTCGGTAGCCTCATTATACACTACGAGTATATGTTATGTACTTATGCTCATATGTTGAATTCCCATGTCGGACAGTTAACACTCACATGACAAGGGTCTGAAATATCCTAATGCAAGTATCCAACACATCAGATTTCACCTTCAACCATAATTTCTAACCAAGGAGAAAGTTATGTGCAATGCGTGCTTAGAAACAAGAATCAGCCAACAAAACAACTTGTAATTTTCGTATGTGTAGCATTTGTAACGTCTGCACATGTAAGAGCATTATACTTATAATGCAATTATTTTTCGAGATTAGCTTCAACAATAGTGGCCTTTGTTAGAGGTAATCAACATTCAGCCTAATGTCATCTATGCACCAATAATCACTAATGTATAATGAAGGGTTATTTATTTTTATTTTTTTTTTCTTTGTGTTTAAAGAGCCACAAAGGGCGGGGCCGCGGGGGTGAGAATCAATCCCATAATCTAGTGAAATCGAGAGGGAAGCTCTAACCACTTGACTTATCCCTCACTATCGGGGTTATTTCTTATTTGCAATGCTAGTAATGATATATTCATCCAAACCATAATCACAGCTCAAAAGACAACTAAAATTCAGATTATGAATCATGTATTAATCAATTCCATCAAAAGCAAACTCAAATACTTGGATTTGTAGTAGTGTAGTAATTTTCATCAAACTCAATTTCCGTGAACATAAAAGCTGACCAGTAAAATAATATACATAGAAAAAGCATAGAAAATATAATGTATAAATCAGACCCAATTATACATAAAATGATAGAAATGAAAGACAAATTCGAAAAAAAGCACCTGATAACAAGATGAGATGAGTGAGTGGTAGTTCAGAGTGATATGGGCACGTTGTGGCTGGAGCTGCGACGCCTGTGAGCTGTGAGCCTGTGACTGTATGCTGGTCTTTTGGCCTTTTGCTGAAGCAGTTGGGCGGATGGCAATTGTATCGTAAAAACGTGATTTTTAAGGGATTAGGGTCGGTTTACATTTACTAAACTGAACTAAATTGAACTAAATTAAACTGAATTGATTGGAACTGAATTGAATTAAACTGAACTAAAAGAGGTGAAATGAATATTTTGCGAGAGAAGGAAATTATGAGTTAAACTGAACTGAAATTTAGGTGAAGTGAACAATACGGAGTATTGTTTTTTTTTTTTGGTGTTTAGAGCAACAAGAAAGAATGATGAGAATGGATCTCAAAATCTCTTGAAATCGGGAAGAGAACTCTAACCACCTAAGCTATCCCTCATTCTTTATTCCACAAATCATCAATTAACCTATGCTAAAAGCGAACCTAAAGTGACACTTGTCACGGTGTCATTAAAAAATTTCCCGCCATTTTTTTCTTTCTTTATTTTTTTTTTTTTTTTTGCCAAATTTGAATGATTTCCAATTTTTAACCTACAATAATACTTATTTCCATTTTGACAACACATTTAATTCAATCATACTCAATTAATTTATTTTTTATTATTATTTTTTAACATATATTTTATATACTAGGAATCTTTTAGTTACAAATATAGTAACATATATTAAAATTAAGGTATTGAAATACTTTGTATATCATTATCCAAGATTATTATAATATTATCAATTTTTTTTCCTCCAACTTAAAATTTATTTTAATTAAAAATAGAAAAAAAAATATTTTGGTAGCATAATTTGTACAAATCTTAAAATTATGCATGACGTTTATAAGAACAACCCAACAAAATTATTTTATTATATTATACTCCTCCGTTTTTTTATATGTTATAGTTGGATTTACACATTTGTCGAGACACAACTTTAACCATCAATATCCTTAATTAAAGACTATTATTTTGTTACAAATACGAGTATTGTTTTTGGTAAATTATTGTTAAATTAACATCATTCTTTATAATTTTTGTTATAAAGTTTAATTATTACCATGCATGGCACGAGACTTAACCTAGTATGGTAACTATTCATCGCTCTTATTTCACCGTATACGATAAAACTTTGCAAAAATTATATTAAAGATAATTTAACCATGTTCAACTGCTAATAGCCAACTCTAATTGTCAAACAAGGCCAATAACTTCATTAGTAAAAAAAAAATTAAAAAATTAAAAAATTAAAAAAAAAAAACAAAAAAACAAAATGGAGTATGTTATTTTTGTTTTATGTTAAGGATTATAGATTGTATTTTTACCCACAAGATTTTTTAGATTCATCTTGAACCAATCAAACATTCAATTAAACTCCACAATTATTTTTATCCGCCATAAAAATAGCCATCTTTTTATTTAAATTCCTTAAAAGACAAATATGAGTTTTATTTGAGTGCAAAAGAATGTATATGTACAAGTCACACAACTCAACCCATATTCCCACAACACAGAAGTAAGAAAGTCTTCTAATAACGTGAGTAGTGATAAGTACGGAATAACATGGTTTGTTGAGTTGATCCATCCATGATTATGAATTTGATTCCTGGAAGATACCTTATATTTGCTAGATAGCACAGTATTCGGGTTCTCAACCACCAGCACATGACATTCCAATCAAGACTCTACTCAAACACGTCTATGTATCTTTCATGTCTATTCGACAAATTATCAATAAATCGAAGTCAACCCCCACCACATTATCCTACATTATCACCCTCCAAATTAAAGTCAACCCCAAATTAGGCTGTACGATAACCGTAATTAACCTTGTACAATAGCACATACAGATCATCATTCTAACCAGATTACCAGGATATACATACTATGTAACCAATATAACTTATTCTGCTGATTCCCTGAAGTACAATGATAAAATAAAAATAAGAAAGAATCCTGGATTCGCTTCATGATTAATACTGAGACTCGGCGAAATACTGAATATTCTTCTCCCTTCAAATGAACAAGAGCCACTAGAACAGCTATACATTTCATCTATTAAGAGAGACCTAGCATTATTTGGTAGTTGTCATTCTTTGCAGAATGACAGTATATAATCTTAGTATCGCGAACACTTTATACTACTACAAATATCTCTGAGTCTGATACAACAGCTTGACATCAGTAATCGAGCTGGTGTTGAAAAAAGAGAGTGATGGCAGCAATAAACACATTGAGTGTCGAGTTTGAACCAAAAAAGTTTGCTCTGCCAGTGGATTCAGAGAATAAGTCTACAACTTTCCCACTGTTTTCATTGGCAAAGCCTCATATGCGCGCATTTCATCTATGTTGGATGCAGTTTTTTTGCCTGCTTTTTATCCACTTTCGCTGCACCACCCCTTCTTCCTATCATTCGTGATAACCTTAACCTTACGGCCAATGACATTGGTAATGCAGGAGTTGCATCAGTGTCTGGAGCAGTATTTTCCCGTGTTGCAATGGGTGCTGCCTGTGATTTGGTTGGTCCTCGACTAGCCTCTGCTACACTTACCCTGCTTACTGCACCTGCAGTTTACCTATCTGCTGTTGCAGACTCACCCTCAGGCTTCTTTCTTATGCGATTTTTCACTGGCTTTGCTTTAGCCACTTTTGTCTCGACTCAATACTGGATGAGCTCCATGTTCTCACCAAGAGTTGTGGGGCAAGCCAACGGACAGGCAGCTGGGTGGGGCAACCTAGGAGGTGGTGTTGCACAATTCATTATGCCTCTTGTTTATAGCATTATCCTTAAGACGAATGCAACACCATTTGCTGCCTGGAGGATTGCATTTTTCATCCCTGCTCTCTTCCAGATGTCCTCAGCATTTGCAGTTATGATTTTCGGCCAAGACCTGCCAGACGGAAATTTTAACCAGCTGCAGAAGTCTGGTGATATGCACAAAGACAAAGCATCCAAGGTTCTGTATTATGGAATCACCAACTATAGGAGCTGGATCACTGCTTTAGGTTACGGATTCTGTTTTGGGGTGGAGCTAGCAGTGAATAATATCATTGCGTACTATTTCTATGATCGGTTTAATCTAAACCTCACTATTTCAGGAATCATCGCGGCTAGTTTTGGGATGGTCAATCTCTTCTCCAGGCCTATAGGTGGTGGAATGTCGGATATAATGGCAAAAAAGTTTGGAATGAGGGGAAGACTGTGGAGCTGGTGGATTGTGCAGACTCTAAGTGGTGTACTGTGTATATCTTTGGGATCGATCAGCACTTTGGGTGCATCGATAGCAGTGATGATTATCTTCTCTGTGTTTGTTCAAGCAGCTGAAGGACTTACATTTGGGGTTGTTCCTTTTGTTTCCAGAAGGTAATTCTTTAATTTCTCATGTTACTTCCTACAAAACAATTTACTACTCGTCTACTCCATACTAAGTACAAGAATCTGACTTCTCTTAATTACCACTTTAGATTCTAAAATCTGAACTTCTGTCATTCATCAATTTTTTTTTTCCAGATCTTTGGGCGTAGTTTCTGGCATGACTGGAGCTGGTGGAAATGTTGGTGCACTCATAACTCAGGTGCTCTTCTTCAGAGGATCACAGTTCACTACAGAAAAGGGAATAACATACATGGGTATTATGATCATAGCATGTAGCCTTGGCATAACTTCCATATACTTTCCACAGTGGGGAGGTCTGTTCTGCGGTCCTAAAGCAAATTTTACAGAAGAAGAATACTACTTAAGGGAATGGGATTCAAAGGAGCAGGAGCTTGGACTTCACGAGGGAAGCATGAAATTCGCAGAAGGTAGCAAAAATGAAAGGAGCATTAAGGCAAAGTCAGCACCAACAGAAGAGAGCAATACACCTGATCATGCCTAAATCCTGACAGCTGCAGCCTGCAGGTAGCGCCCTGTTGGCTCTCTCATTGGTTAAACGTGCAATACGATCGAGCTTAGGAGCACAATTTTCTACTGCAGCCACACCTAGCACTTTCCTTTCCTGAAATGTATGTTACATATATGCTTAGGAGCACAATTTTCTACTGCAGCCACACCTAGCACTTTCCTTTCCTGAAATGTATGTTACATATATGCCATCCATTGTAATTTTTTGAGTATAAGAGTTAAATGTATACGAGATATAATTCAATCTTTTGCCATTAATTATTGGTTTCAAATTTTCTTACAAAAAAGGATTTGCAGAAAACTGTGACTGTAGCGTATAGCTAAGGAGGCACTTAATGTACACAATGGTGCCTAGCCAATTGATCAATAAAATGTTGAATTCGTGCACATAGAAAGTGCAGATTAGCCTCTGAGAAAGAAGCAAATGAATGTTGACAAGTACTTCTGTACTTGTTACAGACATCTGCGTCATATCAAATCTTTGTATGCCTAAATCAGTCGTAGGCCTAGAGCACATCAAGTTTTAAGGAGAAGGGATCCTATAGAGGGTAAGATACAGAATATCAAGATTTTGGTACTAGTACCACTACAATATGAAATCCTAGTTAATAATGTAAAACATAAAAAAGGCAACACGAAACATTAGTCTCTTTTACTATTAACTTGAGATTAGCAACAGCGCAAAAACAAAAAACAGGGCACACACCAGCAAAAGTTTATTCTACATTTACAAGTCAATTTTAGTTAAGATGAGCATTACTCTGAAAAAAGGAGAAAAATGTGAAAATTTACATGTAGAAAACAAGTTAAACATGAAGAAAAAAGGACTACACTTCAGTACCCTAATTGGCAAATCTTCTCATGTGATGATTGCACCGTATGAGCCAACCTATGACCATCCCTTAAGCAATAGTCTATACTCTGAGGAATTAAAGGAGCAGCTGTTTTTCCATAAGAGTTCAAACACAGTGCTTGCAGAAGACCTCGATTTCTTGGTGACGGCGTTAGTTGAATGTCAATTAGATCAACA